CGTGGTTAGAACTGGAATCTCCCAAAGCAGTAATAATCAATTCAGACACAACTCTCTCAGGATTCGCCATCCATTCATCAAATCTTGTCATTGTGGGTCAATTCCAAGAAGAATCCTCTATAAACGTGAAAGAATTGAAAGCAATCTATCAATTCTTCAAAAAAGCAAGCCAACAGAAGTTGTTTCCTCCAGGAACTCACTTTGAGATCCGAGGAGACAATCAACCATCCTTAGTTTATGTAAGAAAAGGCTATGGTTCAATAGAACACCTCTCATCAATAGCAAGAGACTTGTGGACCATTCTCAAGTTGAAAGATTGGCACATTTCCAAAACAGTGTACATTCCATCAGAAGTAAACAACATTGCCGACAGACTAAGCAGACTGGGAGATAGGAAATCTTCTCAAGAATTGATAAATTTGGTAGAAGACCGTACCCAATTCTGTTAAAGATATCCGTAAAAATTCAAAGTGTTCCAAGAAAACTGCTTATCGTAGAACCATCCACGGAATTATTCAACAAATTCGAGAATCACACCTTTCTGGTAGCTCAAGTGAACGGTCAACTTTATTATCAATGAGAAATTTTGGCCTGTCAATCTCCCTTACTGATTCCACAATTAAGAAATATTCTAAACTTTATGGTGCTTTTCAATGGTTCCTGGTAATTCAGAATATTCCAAAGACAAACCCATATGCACTCGAATGTTTTGCTGCATACCTTTCTATTAATAAGAAAAGTTATGATATTAATACATTGAAACCAGCCATTCAATTCTTTGCAGACGTGGAAGGTTGGCAACTCAATGTAGATAGTAGTTTTTCAAGAGTTAAGAAAGGTCTTACTAAAGCCTACTATATTGTGGATCGTTCTAAACTCAAACGTAATGGTTTCTCCTCTTATGATATTAAATCATATATTGATTCGATTTCATCACATGATGAATATACCTATAATTTAACCACTGCTGTACTGGTTATTGGTTTCAGACTTCTAGTAAGACCTGGTGATCTTTGCGATCTCTCTTGGTCTTCTGTGAAACCAAATGATCCAAAGAAAAATTGGTTTACATTTGATCTATCAGACCACAAAACTGATTTTTTCATGATTGACAATCCAACCCCAATCGAACCTTACTGTGGTGAAAAGAAATACTGTCCTATGACCTTATTCAACCTTTTTTACGCTCTCAATGATTCTTGGTAAGTGTTCGTTGAAGTGAGGTTTCAGATATCATCAAATGATATCTTTTTTATTTTAATTTCATTTTAGTTTATGCCTCCTACTCGCATCTCCTAATTTTTTTCTTATCTTTACTAATACTATTGATAAGTTTTTTTATAAGAGCCATATTTATTAATCTCGGGACCTGCTAATAAAGATTTATATCCATTAAAGCAGGTCTCAAGGCTGAATCACCTTAAAGGTGAAACAGTCTCTGAGCTTTAATACCCATTAGTATAATTACTTGTTCTCAATCTTGTTTTTATTAATTTGCAATGTAACAAATAAATTTTCAAAAATTTTATCGATTTGAAATTTAGAAAAGCTTAACAAAGTAATATAAAATATAAAAAACGATTAATTTTTAAAAATCTGCTAAAGTTGGTGTTATCATTATGAAGATTATTGATTGGAAGTAATAATCTTTATGGTAAATCCAAAGAAAATGAATTCAAAGAAAGAACAAACTTTGTAAAAATATTACAAAAACACTGTTATTAGAAGTAGTAAAAGTAGAGTTTGATAGTTGTTTATTAAAACAAAGAAAAACTCTTACAACAAGAAATAGACAACTAGATTCATGGAGGTTGATGTAGTGATAAGTTTAAAAATAAATGGAACAACTAATATCTAACATTGGTTTATTTATTGCTGACTCTGATATTGCAAATCTGTCGATGATGTGGTTCTGAATTCTTTTTCTACCATACTTATCAATTCTGGTGATGATTTCTAATCACTTAAACCGCTCAGTTTGTCTGTAATTTTTCTCTGAGGGAATGTAGATTACTTTTGCAATTCTCAAGCCACATTCTATTTCCAAATTTTCCTTGCTATTTGAGCGAGGTTCGAAAGTTCCATATCTTTTTCTTATGTATGAGAGGGCAGTTGAATTGGCCCTTCCTATTTCAAGATAGAGCTTTTGTGATCTTGCTTCTGAAGAATTGAAGAATTGCCATCATTTCTTTCGAATCGATATGATCGTTGGTGTGAGATCTTCCTATAACAACAGTGTTTGAGGAGTGGACGCCATATCCTTGAGGAGAAGCATCTGAATTGACTATAATTGGGAAAGGTTGATTTAGATATAGGAGAGAACCTTTTGAGTTTGAACTGATCTACAGTTNTTTGCACCTTANAACAATTTAATTATTAACAATAATGTAGAT